GGTAGGGGAGGGAGTGTTCAGAGGCTACAGCAGTGCTCAGTTAACACAGACAGATATCCCACCTGACTGTTATCACGGTAGTTTAAAGTCATGCATATTCATACTTGTCAACCTCTTCCAAAGATATCTCCTAATCTTTGATTCTTCAGCTAATTTTAGGTATTCTTTCTCCTCTATTACCTGCCACTCTGGGAAATTTTGATGTACACTCAATTACTTAAGTGACTGCTAATGTAATTTAATTGTTACTTTACATACATCAGGTTTTGCACCTTTATTGGAGACATCTTTTTGAGTCTATCTTCTGCTACATTGGACTGTTCGGGCATCTGCTTGTTTCTGAGTTATTTAAGCTTTTATGGTTACTACTGTCATCATGACTCTTTTAAGACCTTAAGAATTATCTTGGGTATATTTTCTCACTTTATAAATAAGCTAGGGGCCATAGGCTTCCATCTTTCTTATCCTTCTCAGTCTTCAAACCTACAACCTCAGGTCATCTTTGATTGCTCTTGTTCCTTTCTTTTCCTTAGATGTTCAACCAGCAAACCCTTTGTGGTGTTTTAGGTCACCTGCTAATGCCTAGCCACTCCCTTAGGTCAGCCTTCCTTAAACTTTTGCCTGTGTACATCCCATTTTGTTTCCTACAGCAAAAGTAATACAAAAGAATTTTCTCTTTAAGGATAACTTGGCATTCAAATAAATGGACATGTAAATTCATATTTAGCACAGTGAATTTTTCATAAACTGAGCCCATCTTTGTAACAAGGAATTACTTTTTTTTTTTTGAGACAGAGTCTCAAGCTGTTGCCCTGGGTAGAGTACCTCAAACTCTTAAGCCCAAGAGGACTTTTTTAAGACAGAGTCTCACTATGTCGCCCTGGGTAGAGTGCTATGGCATCACAGCTCACAGCAACCTCAAACTTTTGGGCTTAAGCAATTCTCTTGCCTCAGCCTCCCAAGGAGCTGAGCCTACCAGCGCCCACCACAACTCCTTGCTGGGTTTTTTTGGTGTTTTTGCAGTTGTCATTATTGTTTTAGCTTGCCCAAGCTGGGTTCGAACCTGCCAGCTTTGGTGTATCTGTCTGGCGCCCTACCCAGTGAGCTGCAGGCACTACCCAACAAGGATCTACTTCAAGAAACATAACATTACCAACCTTACAGAAGCTTCCTCTCATTCTCTTCCAGGTACTATGTCCCGCCCTCTCAGGAGTAATTACTAGTCTGTCTCCTTACACCATAGATTAGTTTCTCCTACTTTTACTTCATATAAATGGAATCCTATATTATGTACAGGAATCTGTAAAAATTCGAATATGACCATGTTAATTTTTTTTTTTGTTTGAGACAGAGTGTCATTTTGTTGCCCTCAGTAGAGTGTTGTGGTGTCACAGCTCACAGCAATCTCAAACTCTGGGGCTTAAGTGATTCTCTTGCCTCAGCCTCCCAAGGAGCTAGGACTGCAGGCACCTGCCATAATGGCCAGCTATTTTTCTTTTCTTTTTTTTTTTTGTAGTTGCCATTGTTGTTTGGCTCAAACCCACCAGCCCCTGTGTATGTGGCTGGCGTCCTAGCCACTGAGCTACAGGTGCCGAG